AGACAACCTCCGGCCTGCCACGTGGCCGCTGGCTAACGGTGTTGGGAGACAGCCTCCGGCCTGCCACGTGACCGCCGGCTAACGGCGTTGGGAGACAGCCTCCGGCCTGCCACGTGGCCGCCGGCTAACGGCGTTGGGAGACAGCCTCCGGCCTGCCACGTGGCCGCTGGCTAACGGTGTTGGGAGACAGCCTCCGGCCTGCCACGTGACCGCCGGCTAACGGCGTTGGGAGACAGCCTCCGGCCTGCCACGTGGCCGCCGGCTAACGGCGTTGGGAGACAGCCTCCGGCCTGCCACGTGGCCGCTGGCTAACGGCGTTGGGAGACAGCCTCCGGCCTGCCACGTGGCCGCTGGCTCACGGCGTTCGGGAGACAGCCTCCGGCCTGCCACGTGACCGCTGACTCACGGCGTCGGGAGACAGCCTCCGGCCTGTCACGTGGCCGCTGGCGTGCCGGAGGCACAGACGTGGTTCAAGTTCAAGTTCATTTATTAGGTATAGCCCTGTGAGCCATTCGGCTCTTGAATCGGGTGCAACCGCAACAAACAAAACATGAACAAAAAACATCTTAAAGTGAATATGTGACTGAGTGCAAACAGAAAATCCAAGAAAAGACAGCAAAATATTGCAGAAAAAAACACCGTACACCAACGCTGTGTGCAAAAATCCCAGTGGGATGCAAGTCTCCTAGAAGCTCTTCACACTGACCCGGAGCCGTCTCTCTCCACCCCTTATATCACCTGGCTCACGTGATGCCACGCACCCAATCATCAGCCTCTCCCCTGGAACCTTCTAGATGTTTCTATACAGCCCCAGGGCCACGCCCTTGGCTCGACGTCCCATTGGCTGCGTGCTGAGGCCGGCAGAGCCAATCACCATCGCCCAGTTACCCCCGGGGTGCATCATCATATTACACTACTACTACACCGCCATCAACTTTCATGAACGACCGGGTGTTTAAGTTTAGCGCTTTGTCGGACTGTCTGGCTGTTTAACAAGTGAAAAAATACAATCACTTTACTGTGCAAGTAAAAAAAAGGAGTGTTTTGATTCACTATGAGACCTCCTTTACCAGTGGCAAAATATAGTAATAGGTTTTTACCCTTTCAACTGGTACAATCATCAGAGTTGTTTCTTTTTTTTGCATTTTGACTGCTTGTGTTGTGGTTATTGCAAACATGATGCCTTGTATTTTTCGATTTAAAGCTGCCGTGACTGCAGGGATTCATCTTCTTGGTTCTTTCGGTAAAGTCACGTAGAATGGACAGCGTCTGAATGGACGTCTCCCCGACAGACCTGGTCTTCACCTGAGGACGGCTACTTGCGTTGTGGCTGAAACGTCGTGAGAATTATTTTATTGTTTTATTTTTATTTCCATTCTACGTGACTTTACCGAAAGAACCAAGAAGATGATGCCTTGTATAAAGGTGTCAGTTTTTGTACCAGTTGAAAGGGTAAAACCCTATTACTACGAGTGTTTTGGTATTGATTTATTTATGTATGGCCCCTTTAGAACAACATCTGCTCCAGACCCCCACACTAGCTTCATGCGGCACTGGTTGTTATCATACAGGGTGGCTAAAAGTCACCACGACACACCACCGCTCCCCACGACCACGCAGAGACACACACAGAGACACCGAAATATAGAAGCAGGGATCTTAAGCGCCACTCTTGAAATCATCAGCCGCAGGGGGGGAGGGAGGGTCGTGACATGAAAAAAAACGCTCGTTTGTGTGGCCCTCCAGAGCCAGACGAAATAATTTAATCGCTCCGTTGTTAATTACAAGTCGTTTAGTTACATCAACCATAAATACGTCGGGTGCGGAGTGCGCTGTGTACAACGCGTGGCGTCACCCGAGGCTCGGGCTCACCGCACATCACGACAGCACCGTCGTGCGAGCGCGACTCTAACGGGCGGCGTATGACGTGCGTTGACGCGTGTGCGCGCACGCGATAGTGACGTGTGCGATTGTGACGTGTGCGATTGTGAAAGGTGTGCGCCCGATTGCGGCGTGTGCGATTGCGACGTGTCAGCCATATTGTGAAGTGTGATTGTGACGCGGGTGTGCAATTGTGACGTGTGCGTTTGCGACGTGAGTCATATTGTGACGTTTGCGATTGCGACGTGTCAGCCATATTGCGACGTTTCCGATTGTGATGTGTGCGCACGCGATTGTGACGTGTGCGATTATGACGCGGGTGTGCAATTGTGACGTGTGTCGTGACACGTGTGTGCGCACGCGCGTGCCTGTGTCAGAGTGCGTGCGTGTGTCTATTGGTTGTGCGTGCCTGTGTCAGAGTGAGTGTGCATGTCTATTGGCTGTGCGTGTCTGTGTCAGAGTGAGTGCGTGTGTCTATTGATTGTGTCCGACTGGATGTGTGTGGGGAGCGATGGCGCAGTGGTCAGCACGGGTTGGATTGCCGCTCACGGCCAATGACAGCGGCGAATATCCGAACCGTTCCTGGACCTCCACTAGGTCGACTCGGCCTCAAAACACCGCCACTCGGTTGACAAAGACGGCCGGGCGTGGTGGTGGCGGCCTCCGTAAGCGCCGCTGCCTGCTAACAGCACTTGCCCCGGCAGCCTGGGAAAGGCTGCACGGGAGGAGGCAGAGGTCGCAACCGGGTACCCGATACCCGTACCCTACCCGGCAACCCGTACCCGGCCGGGTACGGGTAGCCGTTTGCGACCCTGGTGTGCCGGGTACGGGTAGGCCGTGAGTCACTGGTGAGTAACGCTTTGTCACTCATTTCGGGTAGGGTACGGGTAGGGAACGGTTTACCCGATACCCGGCCGGGTACGGGTACCCATTTGCGACCCTGGTGCGGCCGGGTACGGGTAAGGAATCAAAACCCGTTTGCGACCTCTGGGAGGAGGGGATCTTTGTCTTTGCATGTACGGCGGATGCTGGACACGCAACGCCCCCCCCCCCCGACTCTTGCGAATGACGTCACCAGGGATCTTTACCGTCCCGCTGTGGAGCGGTGCGGACTGCGCCAGGTCGAATTGCTACGACTAAAAGGCGCCACGCCGCAGTGTTTAAAATAAACGCATTTTTATTTTATTTTACCAGGTAAGGCCCCGCCACTGAGCTATATTTAGTGGTTCTTTTTCGGGAAGCGACTTGCCCACAAACGATAGCCGAAACGAAGTGGGCTCATCATCATCATCACCACCACGTGGACATTCATAGCAGCTAAGTAATTCTAAACGAGCGATGTCGGTTCTGCACGTGGAGGGCTAAACACCGGAGGCTCCGGAGAAAAATCCACGCGGCCACGGGGAGAGAGACGGAGAGACACGCAAACTCCAAATATACAGCAGCAGGCGTCGGGGGTCGTGACTGCACCCACGACCTCCTGTATACCAGGCGAGCTAGTTAACATCTCCTAGCCACCGTGATGATGATGAGAGAGAGAGACGCAAACTCCAAATATACAGCAGCAGGCGTCGGGGGTCGGGATTGAACCCACGACCTCCTGCGTACCAGGCGAGCTAGTTAACATCTTCTAGCCACCGCAGTGTTGACCAGGGCTGCCGCTGGATTGGAACCGTGAAGGCCACGTCACCGCCCCATGACGTCATTTCCCCCTCAATCCGAAGACATTTTTGGGGGGAATTAATCTAAAATCGGGGAACATATCCC